ATTGCCATGAAGTAGGCTAATGCCATGGCACTCTAGCTTGGGAGACAGAGTGAGACTTTGTCAGGGGGCGGGGCAGGGAAGGAGAGGGAGAGAGAGAAAGGGAAAGAAAGAAGCAAGATACAATATACAAGATAACAATTTTTATCTGTACATATTGAGTATTATAATTTTAATAGCTTTTTATTCATATCATCTATCCTAAACTAATTACTTATATAAGAAAGTAAAAAATTGTGCCTAGTAAAGGAGACTAAATAAAATTGTAAAACATATTCATTTAACCAAAAGAAGATAGAAAAAATAAGAAAAAAAAAAACAAAGAATGAGAGGAAAGAAATAGCAAGATGATAGACTTGAATGTATTCATATCACTTATTACATTAAATGTAAATGCTATAAATAACCTAATTAAATGACAGAGATGGTAAGATTCACTGGTAATATGCTTAATTATCTCTATGTTATATACATTCCAATGTTTCTAATTATTCATTCAATGAATATTTAATTTATTTCTATTCTATGATGGGCACACCATTTAGTACTGAGGATATGGCCTCAATTACCTGTTTATGGTCCTTCCTCTCATGACTCTTATAATCTAGTGTTAAATTTAGGTAAGTAAATAGAGTAGAGTATAGTAACTGCATGGGCAGAGGAAAGTGATTTTCTCTTCATACCTGGAAAAAATGACAATGCTTTTATATTATTAACAAAATGACTATAACTTGCACTACTTTAATTACCCTGTTGGGTAATTTTCACATCTGTTAGAATATATGAAGAGTTTCTGCTAAGCAACTGGCTATTTGTAATTAAGAATTGAGCAGTGGGCAGCACCTGTGGCTCAAAGGAGTAGGGCACTGGCCCCATATGGCAGAGGTGGTGGGTTCAAACCGAGCCCCCACTAAAAACTGCAAAAAAAAAAAAAAAAGAAAGAAATAGAATTGAGCTGTATCTGTCAGGGTCTCCTGACAAGTCTACTTCCATGCATTTACTATTTCTCAATTCTGTCCCACTATTAAAACGGTGGTTCTAACTGGGGCCAATTTTCCCCAAAGGGGACATTTGGAAAAGAGTAGGAATATATTTTGTTGTCACAACAAGGGTAGGATATTATCTGTATCTAGTGCGTAGAGGCCAGAGATACTGGTTAAGATCCAACAATGCACAGGGCCAGAGAAGGCCCCCCCCATAATAAAAAATTGTCTAGCTCAAAATGTCAGTAGTGCCTGGTTGAGAGGCACAGAACTTAAGTGACTATTAATCCAAATTCGCTCATGATTTCCTGAATTTTAACACTGAAAAGTCTTATATCTCAGGAAACTCATAAGTCCCACGTAAATCATGAAAATTGACCACTCTAAATCCTAATATTAGAAAAGCAGTTTGTGTTCAACCAGTTATTTCTTTTGGTATGAGCATTTGGCTTCCTAATGTCATGTAATGAAAATCATAGTCAGCATGAGCATGCCTTGAGAACATATTTTGTTCAGTATTATGCCAACTATGTATTATATTTTTATCATCATATAAATTGTATTATACCTGTATTATATTTTTATCATCTTAAAAATTGTACAAGATTATTATTATTATTATATCAATCTTACAACTGAGAAAAAGTGTGCTTACATTAGGAAAATTGTTTAACATCACATAGCTTAGAGTAGTGTTGGGATTATAAAACAAGGTCTATCAGCTGGAGTTTAGTTAGCATATTCTTGCTTTGAAAGATAGAAAAATAGAAAATATTTTCTCCACTGTGCCACACTGGTTATATGGCCACTATTTATAAAAATGAACACCTGAATTACAAGTTTTATTTTATGTAAACATGGGTTTCATTTTCTGAATTGTTGATAGCTACAACTGTGCGTCAGATTTGAGCTGGTATGAAGAGCTAAATTTTCTTTTAAAAAGTACAGAATTTGAAACCAAAGAGATCTGAGGCCAGTGTGATATTTGATCCAGAGTGAATAACTTAATTTCTCTGAGCCCCATGGGGGTAATGGGTAAATTAAATATGAACAACCTGCCTAAAGCCTAAAGCTTGTGTATGTGGTATGTCAGAGGAAATCCATAAATGGGAATTCTACTTATATGAGGAAATGGCTTGATTTAAATGGCACAGATTAGCTTATTCATGACATTTTCATTAGAAGAGTAGGACAAAACAACGTGAATATCATAATGTTTATAGCCTAGTATAATGAAAAAGCATTTGGAATCAGAAAGGATTGGTAGCATTCCAGCTTAGTTACTTAGATATTGTATAAATGTGTAACATTTATCTTCTGGAAGAGAAATGATACTGTTTATCAATCATTGTACACCTTCCCTGTAGGAGACTGAGCACCATGCTTATAGGAATGGTCACCGTTTCTTGAGGGAGGCTCTGGGAATGGAACAATCTTCTGGCCAGCCTGGAGATGTTTTGCAGCCTGGAGACAAGCCTCAAGCAACCTAGTGCTCTAACAAGATCAGTCATCCGTTAGCAAGCAGGTGTTGGACCTTGAACATTTGTGATGTATCAGGGTGGGAGTCAAGCCCGTGGGAAAAGAGCACATAGTGATCATTAAGATTCTTAAGCACGTAGTCCTCCGGACCCCCACACCTGTTGTATATTGTTTCAATAAAAGGCCACGAGGGAGGTTACTGGGGCGCTCCTGCTCCTATGGGGAGGCTCACCTCTTGCAAGTTCATACTTTCAATCCATGGACCAGCTGTTTCATGCTAGCCGTGCTGGAGTGACATAGCCACACCGACACTTCCCATTTATTTTTAAAAAGAAAAAGGAAAACCAGTCCCATTTGTAACACAATATTTTCAAAAAGTTAGAGCAGGCTGAAAATCAAATGTCCATTGTAAATACTGTTCTGAGTCATAAACATTCCACGATGGACGTGAAATATCTGTTTTTCCTGTAGTCAGCAGTCACCCAACTAAACAGGTGTGGTTTTATTTTCTGTTTGCTGGAAGGAAAGTTCGGCTCCTAATGTAAAGATGCATTGAGAGCGGCAATGTGATTAAAATGACTAAATTATCAGTGTACTGAAGGTGACCACTAAATAGACAGGTGTTGGTAACGTACGTTTTAGTTTTGTTTAGAGAAACAGTATGTTAACTTAGAGATAAAAAAGCCACCAGAGATCTGTACTTCTCTGATCAATGAAGTGACATTTGTGAGAAAGGGGTACAAAAAGAAGGATTGCGATCGTGATTGTGAAAGAATTACCACCCTCAAGCTGGATGATTTTCTTAGGACATGTAAGATCAAACTCCCTTTCCTTGAATAAGATTGTTCAAGATTGTGGTGAACAACAGATGGCCCAAGCATAGGATATAAAAGTGAAGAGGCTCGCTGGCAGAGGTCGATTCAAAGAGAGCAGAATTTCCATTGTTGAGAGGTCTGAGGAAGTGGGCAGCCAGGAACTGAACTGGAAGTGTTTTCCATTGTGTTTGTGAAGATTTACCCATATGTTCCTTTGCTTTTTATTTCATATTCTTCCTCTTCTGTGGTGGATTTCAAGACAATCTGATCACTCCCTCCCTTTTTGCTTTCAGCCTGCTTGTAGAGGAGTAATTATGGAGCCTGCGAATCAAACAGGTGGATTTGGGAACTAAGAAAGTAGTACTGAAATAATTGCTTTCCTCTGACACTGAGGTTGACTCAACTTAACAGACATCTGCAACAACTAGATTCATCTTAGTTGATGCCATAATTAGATTATTTCCATCTAAAAACTCTCCTGGACTCAAAGTAAGCCCCACCACACACAGGGGGCCTCTACAAATGACAGGTGGCCACTAAATTTCTTTGGTAGTGTCCTCTGCCTAAGAAAACTTCCTATTATAGCTGATTTTATTTTGTTTGGGAAGCCTAAAATGCCCGTGCAACATAAATAACAAAAGTTTTCAGAGTCATAATAATTGTTGATGAGGATAATTTTGGATACATGGATCGTTTGGATATTATAAGCAAAGGATATATGAATACTGTACAACTTCCGGCAGAAACTCATTCAGATAATGAACCACAGGCAGGGGCAGATCCAAGTTTTATGGATCTTGACGTTTATATCATTTTGGATGGCCACTGATACAAAAATAAGTAAAAAGTAAATAAAGATTTAGTAGGAAAAACAAGTTACTGGAACTTGGGAGATTCAGATCCGTTCCTTGAATTTCTTTAGGCAATTGCCAGAAATGCTCATCCAGAATCGCTCATTGACTGGACTGGAAGCAGCTCCTACCGCACACAGGAGCCTTGTAAATGACGCGTGGCCACTAAGTGTCATTGGTAATATCCTCTGCCTAAGAAAACTTTATGTTTGGGAAGCCTAAAATTTCCGTGCAACACAAATAACAAAAGTTTTCCATCTAATCTCTGTCATTTCATCGTGAGAACTAAAAACCTCACGCATCTCCACGCGGGGTTGTGCAGGTACAGGGGTGGCGTCCAGCGGGCCTCGGGGCTGCGCCCCCAGTCGCCCGCCCGCCGCGGCAGACCGCGGGGACCGCACTCCGCGTGCGGCTGGGGGCGCCGCGCGCGGGAGGGCGAGCCGGGGCCGCGCCTCCCGCTGATTGGCCGGGCCCGGCCCCTGGGGGCGGGCTCTGCCCGGCGCTCGCCCGGCTCGGGGTGGCTATGCTGGCACCGTTCCTGCTGGGTCGAGTCTCTTCCCTGCGCTGAGCCTGACCCGGGGAGAGGTTTCTGAGGGCGGTGCGAGCGCAGGGAGAGGAGCGAGGCTGCCGAGGGCGAGCGGCGGGCTGCGGGGCTGCAGTGCGATGAAGCAGCGGCTCAGGGAGCGGAGGCTGGCGGTGCGGCGAGACGGGCCGGCCCGGGGCCCGGGCTGCTGCTCCGGAGGCTGCTGAGGCGCCGCGGCGGCCGGCGCGGAGAGCGGGGGCGAGAGGGAGGCGAGGCGGCGGAGCGCGGGGGAGCCGGCTGGCGGCCGGCGGCTCCGGTCGGCCTCCCGGGTCGGGATCCCCTGGGTGGAACCATGCGGGTGGCCAAGTGGCTGACGGGGCTGCTTTACCAGCTCTCGCTCTTCATCACCAGGTCTTGGGAAGTTCACTTCCACCCCAGGCAAGGTAAGGTCACCCGCGGGACGCCTTCGGCGGCGAGGTGGGGACGCGGGCCCGGGCGGGACTCGTGGAGAGGGGGCGAGTGGCTCAGCCCGTTTGGGGACGCGGGCTCCGAGGGGCTCCCGGGACTCCCGGATGAGCACGCAGCCCTAAGCATCCGGAGAGGTCGCGCTTGCTCGGGGTTTCGAGGAATCGAGCGCGCCGGGGATACTTCTCACTCCCGGGACCACGCGGCGGGGTCGCGTGGGGCAGGGTGGCGCGTACTCCCGGAGGGCAGGAGCTGGCGGCGGCGGGGAAGCGAGGAAGGACGGGACAGAGGTGGGCTGCTCGGGGCTGTTGGTGGTGGGATCTTTGCTCGGGGAGGGTGGAGCAAGTCCGAGGTGTGGGAAAGCAGGGCAGGGACAGGCAGTGCGCACGTGTGTGTGTGCGCGCGCGTGCACCAGCCTGTGTGCATTTCTGTCCTCGGGTGAATCCAGACCCGGGCTCTTTTAGTTGAAGACGTTGGGAATGAAGGATGAGGAACGCACGGGGGCTCAATGGCCATATCGCTGTGGTTGCAGAAGCCCTAGTGAGGACACTGGCCTCCTACGAAGTGGTGACCCCCGCGCGGGTCAATGAGTTCGGAGAAGTGTTCCCTCAGAGCCGTCACTTCAGCAGGAAGAAACGCAGCTCCGGGGCGCTGGAACCCACGCCGTTCAGGACCCACTACCGCATCAGCGCCTACGGGCAACTCTTCCAGCTGAACCTGAGCGCCGACGCAGCCTTTCTGGCCCACGGCTACACCGAGGTGCACTTGGGGACCCCCGCGCGCGAGGCCCGGGAGCGCGACGCGGCGCCCGCAGACTTGCGCCACTGCTTCTACCGCGGCCAGGTCAACGCGCGGGAGGATCACACCGCAGTCTTCAGCCTGTGTGGAGGCCTGGTAAGTGTCCTCGGTCCCTTGGCAGTTTATTGGGGTATGGTCGAGGTTGCGTTTAGGGAGCCTGGTCTGGGGTTTTCGAGTTGGTGGTTGATGATTGGAGAGTTCAGGGTGTACCCAAGCCAGTGGCCACCACCACCTGTCTAGGGAGAGGAGTCTGGAAGACTCTAAAGCCTAAATAAGCATGGCTCTGCCTGCTGGGCACAGTCGACCCTCTGTGCATAGCTGAAAGCATCCTTCTTGAAAGTGTCAGACGCTGGAGTAGTGACCAAGGAGTGGCCTGTGGGGCCTGTGACATAACTGGAGGGTGGTTTCTAACGGGTGGGCAGGCTGTTTAACCCAGATGTACCCATTTCTGCTGACGTTTTGAGGCTGAATCTCCTGCATGTTCTTAAGTTTGGTCCTGGAATTCAGAACGCTAGAAAGAAAAGAGAATGAGTATACAGTACGCACAATGGAAAGACTCCCACTGGTAAGGTTTGAACAGGAAAAGTTTGTTTTGTTGATAATGGGCATGGTACCGAATAGGGAGGAGTTCCAATCTAAAATGCATTGCACGTGAAACAGTCTATCTGGTACCAGCATGTGAGCACGGATCATCAGAGTGAGGAGAGTAAAACAAAAACAAAAACAAAAAAACCCCCAAGATCTCCTCAAAACTTCACTGGGGAGAAAGGAAATGAAATAAAGTATCTGGCCCTCTGTGTTTCATTTGTTTCTCTCTCTCTCTAAAACAAAGGTTCTTAAACTTCTATTTATTTGTTTATTTATTTTTTGCCGTGACCTTCTTCTGCAGTCTGGTGAAACCCAGGAACCCTATTCAGCCTAATAGCTTAAATGCATAAAATAATATACATAGTGTTACAAAGAAAGGCAATTAAAAATGGGAATAAAATGTTACAAAGCCAAATTATGACATAGTAATATATACTTCCTTATTAATGCATTAAATATGATAATAAGAACTATTAGTGGTGTCTTTTTGCTACTATACTATTGTGGTGATGATGTGTGTCAACAATCCAGCTAGCTACATCAGCTCTAGTGTGTATGGAAGTATTATTTTAATTTGGAATAGAAGAAAAAAAAAAGAAAGTATTACTTTATTGGTAACAAAGCCACAATATCTGTAGTTTCACTCACGATAATAATTGAAGCAAATCTTCACTATTGGAGGTTAAAATAAAGGGGTGACTTATCCATCTAAGTTCATGGAACCCCAGATTAAGGATACTTGTTTAAAATAGATATTATCTCACTTCATCAGTAATTCCTCTGAGAAATACATATTAAAGAAGAAACAAGAACTGGGAATTTGTTCACAGGGTCCTACAAGTATTCTAGCTTTTGTTTAGCACAGGCATACACACGCTTCAGAGATAATTTTCAGAATGTCTTCACTATTTCTTCTTTGATTAAATACATATTGATCACAGTTCTCTCCAGGCCAAATGTAATACTTCTTTCAGATTAAGTGATTTAAGATGCCTTTCTGGATATGAGCTTTGGCTATTCCTAAGAAAATTCAGAAAGAAGTCTCTTTACCCTTTTCAAGTGATTATCTTGAAAGTTGTTTTTACATAAAATGCCTCCAGTTTCCTTCCTTTTCTTCTATGGACAAATGTAAAATATTTGCAATATCAGAATGTCAGAAACACACTCTAAGATTTACACAGCCATCTATACTTCAAAGGAAAGAAAAAGATTCTCTTTTCTAATCCTTTTTAAAAATAATGTTTAGTTTGTCAGGAAAATCCTAGATTTGCTACCACAAGTTTGTCACAGTCAGTATATTTTCTTGATTTAGTATTTTATGGCATGGAAAATATTCCAGATGTGAAGGATTATTAGGAGTGTTGTTTCTGCTTATTTTGATTCATAATGTTGGTGCAGGTCGAATTATTATTCACTATTCCTTTTTGAATTCAGAAAGCAGGTGAAGATGTCTTTGAGTTAGGTGCTGTTTGGATATAGTTCATTATTCGTCATGTATTATTAATCTGATTTGTTTATGTATTTTGCTTTTGAGAAACTTACTGATATTATCAGAATATGTCTATTTACCTTTCAAAATTTTTTTTCATGCTTATATAACTTAGTTTTACCTTACTGGATTTTTTTTTTTTTTCGAGACAAAGTCTTACTTTGTCACCTTCCATAGAGTACTGTGGCAACATAGCTCATAGCAACCTCAAGCACAAATGATCCCTTTGCCTCAGCCTCCTGAGTAGCTGGGACTACAGGTGCTCACCACAACACCCAGCTATTTTTAGAGAGGTGGTCTCATACTTGCTCAGGCTGGTCTTGAACTTAGAAGCTCAGGTGATCTATCTGCCTTAGCCTCCCAGAGTGCTGGGATTACAGGTGTGAGCCACCACACTTGGCTTACCTTACTGAATTTCTTTGCATTTGTATAAGGTTAAGTTGAGTACATCAATCATTGTAGAGATAGAAATTTCTTAGTAATATAGTACCAGGATCTACATTTATTTTTTTCAGTAGTGAGAGTATAACCAATGATAAGTCTAACTTAGTATTGACATAAATGACATTTCTTTAATTTTTCTCATTTTTGGTGTTATCACTAAAACAGATATTAGCTGCCTATTTATGGCTACATTTTTAGATTCATGGTTTCATCGAGTTGCAGAACCTCTGGTAGGTTTTAGAATTCATCTGCCATATATATCAGATTCTGCTTTTTAGTCTCTGATTAGTCTTTATATCTGGATAAATTGTGGTCTCCAAAGCCAGGATCAGCTCAATTGTTTGTAGATTAATGTTGAAACAAAGCCAGGGAACTCAATAATGCTAACCTATGGCCCTGCTCTTACTTCCTAATTTATCTCTGTTACCTTGTGTACTTGAATTGGTGATCTAGCTTTGACCTCTATCAATTCAGTACATGATAACAGGTTTACTGAAGGGTTTTGGAGTCAGTCTTATTAATTTAGAGGTACTTTCTTACTTAACTAGTTAATTTTTGCTTTGCTTTGAATTAGGTCACATTTTATTAATGTTTTTTCAGAATATATTAAAATAAGCATGAAATCTCTTTTTTTTTCTGCTTTGTGTATTGTCTTATGCATTGCTGGATTGAAGCATACATTGACCAATTGTGAAAACTGACCATATACAAGGTCATAAAGTGTTCTGGGGCCTTTACATTGTTAGGGAGAAGGATGAAGAAATTGTAGTGTCCTCCCATTTTTCAAGTGTCTGGTGATGTTCTTTGTGTCAGAGTCTCTTTCCGGCACTGGCAGCTGAATTTGGGCCTGAGAATTTGTGGCCTTTCTTCTTGCTCAGTTAAAGCTCATTGGTCTTCCTTGCTGACTCATCCCCTCTTGGGCTCTCACTGGTGCTATAATATCCCTTCCATAACATCTATTTGATTTCTTATCTGGCTGATGCATGGCTCAGCCCTGAGATACAAGGTCCTGCAGCAGTACCCACCAGGTCCTCTGGTTTGGTAATGGTCTTGGTAATCTTGCACACCCTTCTACGGGACTCAAACCCTCTTCGGCATTTGAGAGTACAAAAGGACTCACTTTCTCCCTCAGTCAAACCCTTCTACACCTCTAAATTTGGTGTGTGTGTAGAACCCTTTGAAAGGGTCCATTCTTTGAGTCTCACATAGCACGCTGTGAGCTATGTGCTCTTAGCAGTGCTTTTAACCAATCTGATATGCCTTCTGTTTCTGGGATTTTAAACCGCAGTGAAGGAGTTAGTGCCCATCCATCTCACCATGTGTCTTGCCTCTGTTGCTCCCTCACCCCGTATCTACTGAGTTACCTTTTACATCTCATTTGACCCATTACCTTTTCATCTTCCCATTTGAGGTAGCATCTACCCTTCCCTTCTCTGGTGGTTGCTGGAAAATGTGACTTACGGAGGAACAACATGAAAAACAAGCCAAAGTGATGTTTTCAAAGTGTTATCCCTGTACAGCCATTTGTTAAAATTAACATCCTGACATATTTATTGATTTCATTTAGTTGCTAGTGTTGAATTAACCCAACACATGTGAACCTATCTTTGCATTTCTATGTGGTTAATATTTTCCCACTTTTAGAAGTCTTGCTATTTACATGTCTTCTTTTTTACCAAGTCTCTGAACCATAACGAGTGTTGTTTGATTTTTCTTCCTAAGTGTTTTGAGCTCAAGAACCAGAAAGGGCTAAGAATCTACCAGAAATTTTCTTTGTTTAACATGTGTATAACTCTTGCTTTTCTAATCTTTCCTTCTCTATAATTTTTCCTTCCCATAAGTATTTATTTATCCCATGAGTCAAACATCACTGAACAGAGATTTATTTATATATTTCAAAAATGTATAATACGTATAATTATGGAACTGAATCATAAAAGTTTCTATGAGTAATGTAATGGCTAACCAAACTCAATGTTTTCAATCTACTGATAGATGATAGACTACCACATAATGTGTAGTTATCAGGCCTTAATATTCCTGTGTTCACCTCTAACTTTTTTATGTCATATTATCTATGGTCTTCATATACTGATAAATACTCTTACCAAATTTAACGTCAATATGAACTTCTTTTTATGGCCATATAATTTATCTTCTCAGAATGTTGATACTCTTGCCGAAGTAGAGATCAATATTTAGTAAGTTAGCTGGGATAGGATGTTGTGAATTTTACACAGACTGTTCCTGACAATCCCCCCGTGCCTCTGTTAGTCTTCTCATATTACCTAGTGGGTTCATTTCTTCCAAAGGCCCTTAGGGACTAACTTGACCGCCTTGACAGTTAAGTTCACTATTTCTTGTTGGGATTTGAGGCAGTGCAGTCTTTTGGTTGAAGGAAACAGTTTCCAGATGTCATAAAACCAGACATAGCATCCATCTAGTTTATACAGTACTCTGACGGAGTGGCCTGCAGTGGCCCTGTGCACTTTTTTGAAGTTTCTTAGATGAGCCATTCTATAATATGCCAGGCATTACTGCTCTCTGATGATTAATTATTGAGTTGATCTAGTGA